TTTAAAGAAAAATAGAATTTATTGTAAGGATCCTGGGTACCGACAGAATCAGAGCTGAAAAACCATACCTTGTTAACATAAACTAGGGGAACTAGACTATGATATATTTGAGTGGCTTAGTTACCCTCCCCCCTCCCCCCACCTGCCCCTGTGTCAGTCTACTCAACACTTCAATTCCTAGAGAGTCTGGTTTGCCTAATTTGAGTATCTTGGTTCATCAACCAAGGCACTTTTTTGTTTGTTTGTTTTAATTGTAGCAAAAATATACACAACAGAACATTCTCCAATTCAACAATTTTTACATGTATAATTCCATGCCATTGATTACACTCTTTGTGTCCCTTTTCCAAATTATTCTACCATCATTAACATTAACTCAATGCCCCCTAAGCAAAAACTCTTCCTCCTTCACCCATGGTAACTGTAGGTCAAGGTTTTTTTTTGTCTTTGTTTTTTAAGTAGTTTTCTTGATACAATATTTACATATCATGCACTTAGACAGTTAACCACTTCTAAAAGCTGTATATACATTATCACTATCAGTTCTGTACCTCCCTTGTTTCTTCAATTTCTTTGTTTACAGGCACAGACATTAGGATCAGACTCTCTGGGTTCAAATCCCACAATCCTACCTCTGATGTCTATTAGCACTTCCTGACTATGGGCAATTAGGTAGCATCTCTGTTTCAGTTTTCTTATCTATAAAATGGAGCTATAATGGTACCCACCTCATAGGTTTGCTATGCATTAAAAACAATATTTTTTATATTGCCAGGAATTTAGTAAACACATATGTATAAAGCATTATTATTATTATATAAAATGGGCTTCTTGTTGAGAGTTGTCAAATTGGCTCCAACACCTAGTGATCCCATGTACAACAGAAGGAGGCATGACCCTATCTGTACCATCTTCACAGTTATTGTTGTTTAAACCCATTGTTACAGCCACTGTTCCAATCCATCTCAGTGTATTCATATTTAAATTTCACACAATTTACAGGATGATACCATTTATATTTTATTTTTATTGCAGGGATTACCTTTCAAAATATAAATTGGTTTATTTGAAAAGCATTGTTAGCTTTTATCCTAGACCTATTCTTTGAAAAATACCAATGACTTATCATTTTTGCATTCAACATTTATTGAATTTTTGCCAGGCATATACTAAATTCTAAAAAGACATGGAATTTATATTCCAGGAAAATAAACCCAAGGGAGCAAATAATTAAGAATTCTCACCTCCCATGTGAGAAACCTGGATTTGATTCCTGGCCAATATACTCTATGCACTGCCACAAGCTGTCAATCAGTGGAAACTTGTATATTTTAGGATGCTGAACAAACCAAGATTAAGAAGAAAAGCCTGTTGACTAACTTCCCAAAATCATCTAGTGAAAACTACGAATCCCAATGGATTGATCAGCTGATTATGACACAGGACTAGACAATGCTTTGCTCCATTGTACATGAATCACTGGGAGTGAGTCAGTTCGGTTGTAGTTTGCAACAACAACAATTATTGATATAAGAACTAATTGGTAACAATGTGTGTGATAGGTAGGCTTATTGTGCCAATCTGGCCAATAGGAACTTGTGGGATTAATAAAGTTGCAGTTTGATTGGAGGGCATAAAGATAAATGTCTCGGCAAGCCCTGCCTCTCTCTCGTTCTCTGGTGATCGGACTAGCATGTGACTACTAGTTCTTTGTCTGAACTTGTAAGCTACACTACATGTGGGACTGCCAACCCCTGGATTGCGTCGCTAGAGCTTGAGGTTCCTTTGAGACCTGCTTTGCCATGCTGGTGGTGTATACATCGCTTGAGCTTGGGATTTTTGGATCCTGTCATCCTACTGACTGTTGGTGACTTGCCCTGCTGTTTGCTGCCTGTGGCTAGATTGCCTGCATTGCCTAAGGAAGATTGAGTTGTCTGCTTACTTGACCTTGGCCCAGCAGCGCAAGTGAGTTGAAGGACTCCCAGCATAATAACTGTTCCACAGAAGTGAGCTAAACTGAGCCCTCTGTACTGTTGTGTGGACTAATTAGCTGTTAGATTCCTTCGTACTGTGTGTGTGTGTGTGTGTGTGTGTGTGTTATATACTCGTGTATAAGCCAAGTTTTCCAGCACATTTTTAATGCAGTTTTTATGGTAAAATTAGGTGCCTTGGCTGATATTTGGGTCAGCTTATACTCAAGTATACATGGTGTGTATATGTATATATGCAATCATAAGTGTCCTGATTTTGTTTCTCTAGAGAACCCTGTCTAACACACTATGTGTGTATCAGCTAAAAGACTAGGAAGCTGGAAGGGTTTGGTGTATGCATGGACTGGAATGGACTGTGGTGACTCCAAAGGGAATAAAAGGAAGGAAGGGTGGAAGTTGTACTGGAGCCTTAGAGACTCCATTAAAGAACTTGCATCTAAGTAGGGAACTTAGATATCTTTCCAGTTACGTTGAGGGGATGTTTTAAGCAGGAGAAAGTCATATTTCAGATTTACATTGAAAATGCTGTCTTAGTCCATTCCTTAGAAAGTCAACTGGAAGGGGATAGGCCCAATCTGGTCGAGGACTAGTGTGACAATCTGGGGAAGAAATGGAGGGAGCTGGACAGGTGGCAGTACAAGGAAGTGACCAAAATCAAAGTTTGAAGGTAGAATTGGCAGGCATTGGTTATGGCTTGCTTCAGGGAGATGATGAAAGTGAGGATTTCAGAACAGCCCTAGATTTTTGACTGTTAGGTTCGTCCTGTTAGCATTCATGTGTTTGCTGCCTTTGTTATTATACTCTTTATTTCCATTTTAATATGGTCCTTTACAAAACTGAATTATTAAGTTCCATTTTAAATCTTCATCTTCCTGGCCTAGAATTTTTTGCACTATAGCCAAATTATATAATGTCTCTTAATTTCTTCCTGATTTTTTGTGTAGCGATAGAAACACCTTTTAGTTAATTAGTAGCTCTTTACCTTATTAATGTATTCTTCTGAATACTTAAACTTATTGAATAGTCTTTTGAAAAGAGTTAGATAGCTGAGAGTCATTCACTTCCCGACTAAAGGTGGAGACTGTACAAACACCTTCACTTCTCTGCCTTGTGTGCTTTGGACAGGGGAGAGCTTCTAGGAGTGATGGAGGGCTTCGAGGTTTCTGGTGTTTACTTGAGCCCTGATGACATATAGTGATTGTGTATTGGGCTGCTAGTCACAAGGTAAGCTGATTGAAACCACCAGCCACTCCATGGGAAAAAGATGAGACTTTCTACTCCCATAAAGAGTTACCATTTCAGAAACCCATAGGAAGATCAATAATTCTGAACCCCATGTATTACCCTCTGCTACAGGGTCAATATTAGTTGGAACCAACTCAATGGCAGTGAGTTTGCAAGTGGTTAATCTGCTTGACTACTAACTGAAAGATTGGATATTTGAGTTCACCCAGAGACCTAGGAAGATGGGCCTGGTAATCTACTTCCAAAAAACTCAGCAATTGGAAACCCTAAGACACATAGTTCTACTCTCGACACACATGAGGCCACTCTGAGGTGAAATTGACATCATAGCAACTGGTATCTAGGCACAGATTTGCTATGTAATGTGACTTCCAGAGTGGTAAGTGAAGTTCATGAGTTGTTATTTTCTGTCACTTTGGACTATGTAAGGAGCCTTGGTGGCTCAGTGGTTAAAGTGCATAGCTGTTCAGCAAATGGTGAGCTATTCAAACCTACAAGCTGCTCTGAACCTACCACACTTCCCTTCTGTGATGGCTTACAAATCCGAAAGACACGGCTCTCTGTGTCTGTAAAGATTTACAGCTCTGGAAACCATGTGGTACACTTCTATTCTATCCTTTAGGGCCTATATGAGTTACAATCAACTTGCCAGCAGTGGGTTTGGTTTTGGTTTGGTAGAACTATGTAGATACATATCAATAATTGGAGTTTATCCTGCTTTACCAAAGTATGACTTCTTGTCAGTGAATTGAGATAAAATATAAGCAGATTGTTTAACTTGGTGCATGTGGAATGAATTATTAGAAAAAATGAAGAAATAAAGTGAAACTGGAAAGAAAATTCATTAGAGAGTAATTTAGAGAGATTTTTTTTAAACCTAAATGAGAAGTCAGAAATGTATATAAAGCATAAGGACTTCAAAAGCAAATTTTAAACACAGACTTTATTATTAAATGTCCATGAATGTTTTTGACTTCCCACTCCATTAAAACACTCAAATTAACTTTATATTTAGAACATTTAAAAATAGATCTTAAAAATAAGATATAAAATATCATCAGCTGTGCTTTTTGTACATAATTAGTATGGGCCTGTGAAGGTATAATGATCTTTAGTCTAAGGATATTACTCATGATATCTAGAGGAAGTGAAAGTCGTAACAAGGTTTCCGTAGGTGAACCTGCGGAAGGATTAAAAAAAAAAAAGTTCTGATAGTAAAAAATATCAGAGGTACAGCTGGATGACACATTTAAATTAATTCAGTGATGACTCCAGCACAGGAAGTATGGGATTTTGGGTCCTTGGGATCCCATTATGAGTGGGTCAGGAAGACAATGATAAAACGTCCTTTCTAAGGGGGAACCGAGTACAAGGATCTCCATATAACCCCCACCCTGGGGGACAGATGGACAACAGAAAAGTGGGTGAAGGGAGACATTGGACAGTGTAGGACATGACAAAATAATAATAATTTAGAAATTATAAAGGGTTCATGAGGGAGGGGTGGTGGGGAGGGAGGGGAAAAATAAGGAGCTGAGACCAAGGGCTCAAGTAGAAAGCAAATGAATGATGAGGGCAATAAATGTACAAATGTCCTGGGGCGGGGCGGCGGGATGTATTCTATGATGTGGGCAACAAATGTATAAATGTGGTTGACACAATGGATATATGTATGGGTTGTGATAAGAGTTGTACGAGCCCCCAATAAAATGATTTAAAAAAAAGATCCTTTCTAAAATGCTTCATTGTCCCCCTTTCTTATAGATTTGATACGTGCACACTTTCTGTCAGTGTTCGGCAGGCCAGTGTGAAAGTACTCCACCTTTTCCCGTCTGCAATGGCTCACAAGTTAGCAGACCTTTCTTCTGAGTATGAGTTTTGGATGCAGAAGCTTTCTATATGGGACCAGGCCTCCACTTTGAAAACACAGCAAGATACCTGTGTTCATCTGTCTCAGTTCCAGGAGTTCCTAAGGCGGATGCATGAAGCTTTGAAAGAGATGGTAAGTAGTTGACGAAAGGATGAAATGATTTTGTCCCTTCAAGAACTCTCCACCCAGATTTCCTCTAGAATGCTAAATATGGTCAGGGATTTGTAGTGTTGACCTAAGGTCTGGGTTTTCATACTTGACTGATCTTTGGTATCACCTGGGCTCTGTTTGCAACCTAATGAATCAGAATCTCTAGGGGACATTTGAGTGTGTCATGTAAGAGGTCTTGAGTAATCAAATTATTTTTAAATAATCAAGTTTATGATACTTGCTGTCAGGTAATAAATGGGGTTCTTTTAAGACCTGGCCCTGGTGCTGTAGTGGTTACATGGTAGACTGCAATCTGCATGGTCGGCAGTTCGAAAACACCAGAAGCTCTGAGGGATAAAGACTGGGCTTTCCTGTAAACGATTACAGTCTCAGAAACCCCAGTGGGGTAACCGTGTGTCAGATTGAGCTTGAGCTTTAAAGACCTTTGCATCACAATGAAACATGCAACTTTCCTCTACTTCTTAAATGCTTCCACCTCTCCACCCCCCTACCCCCACCCCCATCATGATCCAAATTCTAACTTACAAATTCAGCTAGATCACTGGTATTGATAGGAACTGGAAACACAGGGAATTCAGCACAGATGATCCCTTCAGGACCAATGATGAGAGTGGTGATACTGGGAGGGTGGAGGGAAGGTGGGGTGGAAAGGGGGAACCAATTACAAGCATTTGCACATAACCTCCTCTCTGGGGGATGGACAACAAAAGTGGGTGAAGGGAGATGTCGGACAGTGTAAGATATGACAAAATA